AACTGATTATTCATACATTCATCCTCTTTTCCTTTTTTTTTAACGGGAAATACAGCAGGGCAAGCCCCCACAGTAGGATTTTATTTAATTTAAAAACAAACATAAACCTGTACAAAAGAGATAGAATATACAACAAACCGACCAGCCAGAGGGCTGAGGTAGCACACAGCAGGAAGGGAACCGCCGGCCCAAAGCCAAGGAGGTCTAAGAGAGAAGATCTAAACAGAGGAGAAAAGCTGCACGTTTGTCATCTCTCATTCTAAAAGCTCGAAGTTTGGCCTCTTCACAGAAGAGGTTTTTCCAAGAAGAGAGAAGGCTGGCCTCTATCAAAAATGAAGTTTCTCTGCTTCCAGATATGCCAGGCAGCAATGGTGAAGGTCTCCATGAATAAGGGATTTTGGTGTTGCTGTTTTGACTGTATCATCATTTGAAAGAATTCACTCTGAAGAATTTTAACACATCCTTCCTCAGACATGGAGTTTATCATTGTTTATTGGATCATAGTTTTTGAACAAATTCGTGTGAAATGGATCTGTATAGATGTATCTGTAATTATTAGGGATATGTAGTCTAGATACTTGTACTCCAAGTTGTATCTTGACTATATATATGAAAGTCACCCCTCCCATAAGGTGCGAGGTGTTCCCTAATTCTCTACATGGTATCGAGAGTTCGGGTTCCCTTCTGGCCTCTACCCTAGCTTCCCTCCCGCGCGTCCCCTACTGCCCGCAATCTTCCGCACGTGTGAACCCCCGTACGTCCGCCGTCCGCCTCCGTGTGACGCGCTCTGCTCGCGCACTCGGCCCCACCTCCGCGCTTCTCAAGCAGCGCATGTCTTCTCTCCCGCGGGCGCGGCCTCCTCTGCTCCCATGAGCGGCCCTAGCCCACCTCCTCTGCTCCCATGCGCCTCTGTGGCCGCCCACGCGCGCGCCTCCGCCACGCCGTGCGTGTCTTCCGCGTGTGTGCCTTTGCTCTGCCTGCTCTGCTTCTACGTGTGCGCCTGCCTACAAGCCGTGATGTCGACCTCTTCTATGACTTGATCTGCTACCAGCGGCGCCATGGGCAACCTTCCCGCCAGGCCGATCGTCGCTCCCTATGCAATGATCGCAGTCTGCTCTCACGTCCTTGTCGCCCTCGAGCTAAAACATCCAAACTTCCACAAGTGGGCGGCCTTCTTCAAGTCCCTGCTGGGGAAGTTTGGCCTTCACGGCCACATTGTCGGGACTGTTCGGGCTAATCGCAATGATCCCCAGTGGGTCATGGATGATGCATGTGTCCGCAATTGTCTCCTCGGGTCCATCACCCCCAATGTCCAGGACCTCCCCATGGACGGCAACCAGTCAGCATGCCAACTCTAGGTTTGTAACACCCCGTGTTCAAAATTTGCTTATAGGCCCAACTCCGCATGTGGAATGCGCCTACATACGCGTAGTACCTCTCTTACACTTTCGTCCTCGCTTCATGTAAAAGGGTTAACCTGGAGGTCCTACGTTCCTAAACTTCAAAGGTGGTACTAAACTCACCAATCACACATGTGCCACATGGGCCACATGAGCCAACTTCACAACTACTGTAGGCTTTAACGGGCTGGGGTGTTACATTCACTCCCCTTAATGGCTGACACCCTCGATAGCTCATCACATACGCAACAGATGTCTAGGACCACCCCTTGGTACTGTCTGTAACACCCTGCGTCCAAAATCTGTTTATATGGCCTAGCTCCGCACGTGGAACGGGCCTGTATATGTGTAGAACCTTTCTTACACTTTCGTCCTCGCTTCGTGTAAAAGAGTTAATCCGGAGGTGCTACATTTGGAACGACAAAGATTATAATCTAGCCCCCACCCTCCTAAACTTCTAAGATGGTACTAAACTCACTAACCACAACCGCACATGTGCCACATCGGACACCTTCAGAACTACTATAACGGGCTAGGGTGTTATAGGGTTGCCATTGAGGGCCTCTTTCTTGCCAACAAAGAGCCCCGTTCCATCTTCCTGCATGTGGAGTTTCTATGAGGCAAGGGGATCTCTCCATCCACGAGTACTGCCAACGCATGAAGACCGTTGCTGATGCCCTGAGTGATGTCGGCCATGCAGTCTCGCCGTCCCAGTTGGTCCTCAATCTCCTCCATGGCCTCAACCTACACTTCTCTAGCACGGCGGACAACATCGCCGACACTACTCTGCAACAACCTGACTTCAACACCACTCCCAAGAAGCTTGTCCTCAAGGAACTTTGCCTAGCTAATGAAGGCAAAGTTTCCTCTGAGTCCACGCTCCTCATCGTCGGCTTGTCTCTCTGTGGCATATCATGTCGTGGGGCCTCTGCTCATAGCATAGGGGCAGGGCACCCGCCGTCATCCTAGCAGCGGTGGGGGTGGCGGAAGAAACTCCAACCGCAACAAGAAGAAAGGTGGGGGTCGGTAGCAACACCAGCAGCTAGGAGGACCGCACGCTCCTCCCCAGGCCGGTCAATGGATCTATGTTGGCCCCGTGCCTGGGCCACAGCTACAGCAGCAACAGTGGTTCCGTCCTCCTCAGCAAGAGCCGTAGCGGCGTGGACAGGGAGTGCTTGGGGCATCTCCGCAGGCACACTCGGCATTCACTCCAGCTGATCCGGCCATAGTTTACTCCTCCGTCGGGTCCTCAAGCTGGTGGCTGGAACGAGGCGGTCTCATCGCCGCCTTGAACCAGATGGTGCTTCAAGGTACTAGTCCCTGGTTCCTGGACACCGGTGCCACATCTCACATGGCTTCTTCGGATGGTATATTACTCACCCGCCTTCCTCCATCTATCACTATGGGCAAAGGTGATTCTATACCTGTTGTTAGTCATGGTACTTCCATCCTTCCTACAACCGACACCTTCTATCTCAATAATGTTCTGATTGCTCCTGACATTGTACGCAATCTTCTTTCTGTTCATCAATTTACATGTGATAATCATTGTTCTATCGAATTTGACAACCTTGGTTTTCTATTAAGGATCCATGGACGGGACACATGATTCTTCACTGCAATGGCGACCTCTACACCATACCATCCACTTCGTCCTCCACCACCGCTAGCTGCAACCTTGCCGTCTCGTCTACCCTATGGCATCATCGTCTTGGTCATCCAGCTGACTCCGTTGTCACTTCTCTTAGAAACATGCCAGTTATCACGTTTAATAAAGCCGCACACACCTTGTGTCATGCCTGCCACTTAGGCAAACACACGCGCTTGCCCTTTGCATGCAGAGTTCAGCATCCTCGAACCCCATCTTTGATCGGATGACTTGGTTACGAATGGGGGTAGCGCCACCTGTCAACTACTAGAATCTCTCTGCTATGTTGACTTTGCCACTACCAACTAACTACCGCAGCCCGCTGGCTGATCCCAACTGGTGTGCTGCCATGGCGGACGAGTACCAGGCATTCATCGACAACGGCACATGGCGCCTCATACCACTTCGATGGCTCTCTTGCCACCACAAGGCTTGATGGGTTGTTCGAGGCTTCTCTCAGGATGACGTCGACTACGGCGAGACCTTCAGTCTACTCCCTCTGTCCCTATATGTAAGTCGTTTTTGCTCTTAACCATATGCAACAATAGTTCTCTCAACCTGGCCATACTCTGAGTACAGGTGCATTGATGATTGAGTGAATCTAGACATTTACTTTTGCTCCCAGAACGACAGAGAAAGGGGGACAGAGGGAGTAGTTGTCAAGCCGGCCACCATTCGTGCTGGCCAACTACATCTGCAAGCATGGTTTCTCCGTGGTGAAGTCTGACACTTCTCTCTTTATTTATAAAGATCAAGATGATGTCGCCTATCTACTCATCGATGACATTGTACCGACGACATCCTCTATTGCTCTAATGCGGTGCATCACCGATCATCTCAGCTCTGAGTTCGCCATGACAGACCTTGGCACTCTCCACTTTCTCGACATCTCCGTCACGTGCTCCGCCGATGGCTTGCTCCTATCGCAGCGACAGTATGCCATCGATCTACTCTAGTGGGCCGGCATGGCTGAGTGTCACCGCACAACAACTCCAGTTGATTCCCGGTCCAAGCTGTCTGCTACTGAAGGCGTTGCTGACCCCTCGGAGTAGCGGAGTCTAGCTGGTGCTCTGTGGTACCTCACGCTGACTCGGACTGACCTCGCCTACGCCGTTCAGCAAGTTTGCCTTTTCATGCAAGACCCACAAGAGCCACATCGCCATTCAGCAAGTCTGCCTCTTCATGCACGACCCACAAGAGCCACATCTTGCCCTGATCAAGTGCATTCTACGCTATGTGAAGGGCACCCTGGACGCCGGTCTCCACCTAGCCACTGGTGGTGTGTCATCCATCACTGCCTACTCCAACGCCGACTGGGCAGGTTGCCCGGACTCCTGGTTCTACTTCAGGCTTCTGCATCTTCTTGGTTCTACTTCGGGCTTCTGCATCTTCCTCGGCGACAACTTGGTCTCTTGGTCTTCAAAGCGGCAAACTACAATGTCCCGTTCCAGTGTAGAGGCTGAGTATCGGGCTGTTGCATATGCAGTTGCCGAGTGCTGCTGGCTGCAACAGTTGCATCAGGAGCTTCACGTCTCGATTCCTTCAGCAACGGTTGTCTATTGTGACAACGTCAGTGCAGTCTATATGACCGCCAATCCGGTTCATTATCGTCACACGAAGCACATTGAGACTGACATCCACTTCGTCTGTGTTCGAGTGCTACATGTCCCCTCTGCACATCAGTTCATGGACATCATGACTAAGGGACTACTTGTACAGTTGTTTAGTGGCTGTGACTGTGGGCGACTATTAGGGATATGCATAGTCTAGAGATATGTATGTACTTTACTTGTACTCCAAGTTGTATCTTGACTATATATATGAAAGTCACCCCTCCCTTAACTGGTGTGAGGTGTTCCTTAATTCTCTACAATAATTACTTTACAATGTTCTTCATTATATAAAAAAAACTTTACAATGTTCTTTCTAAGTCATATTTGTATTTTCTGTAGGACTTCCTCAGCAGTTATGGTGTATCGTGAGGCAGTTTCAGCTGGGCTACTACCCTCAAGTGATGTTTTATCTCAAGTGTTGGGGTGCCTTAGGCTTCCTCATGGCTCTTCTCTGAAGAGTAGTTTCATTGAAAACATGGGAATAAGTTGTGATATTCCACAACACCCAAATATAAATTCACATTTCGAAGGATTCGGTGAATATGACATTCGAGCTTTTTCTATACTGGAGGTAATTATGCTATCTTTAATTAAAAATGGCTCTGTTTCAACATATGCAGGTTAATGAAAGTTGCATGGCTTCTTGTCACAGGAGGCTGCTTCATTAGGAGCAGTTGGAAGTATTTCCATGAAAGAGACCCGAATTCTTATTGATGCTAGAAAGTTAAAGATCTACACAGCCGAGGTACTATTGCTGATTGGAACATGACACATAAGCGAAACTGTATCTGAATGCAATTCAAGGACACATCGATGTGTCCTTTTTCTTGTTTCTGTATTTTAGGATATTTTTTGAGTTGGAGTGATTATGGTGGGGGTGCAGGGTGGGGAGTTGTTGGGAAGTGATTCTGGTGGTGATTGAATATGAGCGGGTCTATTTAGCTCCCAGCTAGGGATGAAAATGGTTGGAAACAGTACAAATACAGAATTGAGACTTCCTGTTTCTATCAAAATACCTAATGGAAAAAGCTCAAAAAATGGTTGTGCTAAAATAAAAAAATGTCAACTTTCATCTTTTGATAAAAACAAAAACGGTCGTAAATGGTATCATAATACGGAAAACGGTATCAGATTTTCTCGTACCGCTTTCACCCCTTAGCTCGCAGTGTAAATGGAGAAGCAATTCATGTCACATCCCCACCAGAATCTAGTTGTGCTTTACTCGTTTTGCTGCCTAGGAGTAATTTTCAATACAAATTGAGAGCTGGGAGCGTTCTCAAACAGCTCCTTAGATGTTAGCTTACTGTAGGTTCACTTTTAGATTTTTCTTTGTGGTGATTTCTGCTGTACTGGTCATGCCCGTTGCCTAGATGCCTTCTAGCCACGTCATCAAAAGTTTGTAGCCATTAGATCAACACAATTGCTTTAATCTAACCGTGATTTCCTATGGCCTCCTGCGAGTCATCTTTCACAACAATCTGGCATTTTTCATGTTATTTATTTCAGAATTTTCTCATCAAGAGTTTATAAAAACAGTGATATTCAGGAATCTAAAATATAAAAGCAAGCCCCTGTATTAAAATTATGGATCTGTTGCATGCTGCTGATGGCATGGAGATTTGGCTAAAGTTTCTGGACCAATCACGTAGAGGACAGAAGTACATGTGTTTGTTTGTTTTTTCCAGTTTTGAGTATGTGGTATGGACTTGTGTTGTTGCTGGGGTTGAGGCAATTTATGCAGCTGATAGCATGTCTTATGTATATATGTTTTTTATTTTGCAGGTATCTCTTCTTAGAACATTAAGATCTTTGAAGCATCGACTGGCTGCAGGTGAATGCTAGATTATTTTTTTTTTTAAAACAAATAGTGTGTTTATGCTTCTATTTTCTAGTGAATCAAGAAAAAGTATTCATGCTTTGCACCACCGACATTGGACAAATGGTGTGAAACAATAAATATGGAGGGTCAATGGATTATTTGTGCTCCTGTGAATTTTGTTTAGATTGTAAACTATATAAATATAGATTATTGGCCATTTCCTGATAAGGCGAGCAGACAAATATAATCTGGATATTTTTTATGAGTATAACTACTGACTGTTATTTCGGTCAATTGAATTATCCGAACACAGTAGACACGGTTTTTAGTCACATGTGCGTGGTTCTATGATTTCTTGTAACTAACTAAATGGTTATCCTGTGATATCCTCACAGGCTGGAACACCAATAAGAAAATGGAGAATTTTGTACTCGTGTATGATTTACATTAGTTTTTCTGTTCTAACATTTCTTAGTGATGCAGGTTCAAGGTTACCAAACGTGACAATCTTGTTACCCACAGAAAAGAAACAAGTTGACATTGATGAGAAGGAGAAAACACTTAAACTTGCTGGAAGGTGAAATCGTATCCATTATTATATGGATACTTGTACTATACATATTTATATTTCGTGGCTTAACTTTTGCAAATTAATCCTGCTTTAATTTTTTTTTTAAAACAATAGAGTAAAATTCACAAGCAGTTCCTAAACTTGCACGACGGTGTCATCGAGGTCTAAACTCACGAATTTTATATTTGATCTCCCATGTTTTTATGATGGCGTCATCTGAGTTCCTAACTCTCAAACTTTGATATGTAGATCTACAAACTTGTATGGTGGTGTCATCTCTGTCTTTAAACTTATGAACTTGTTTTTGGCGTTAGGATTGGTCCAAATGTGCTTTGACTTGCTATATGTGCTGATGTGGCATATAGTCAGTACACGGAGCTGATCACAGCCCGTTTGTACCAATAACTAGATGACACTGGTGTATAAGTTCAAAGTCCTAAATATCAAAATCACAGCCCGTTTGTACCAATAACTAGATGACACTGGTGTATAAGTTCAAAGTCCTAAATATCAAAATTTGAGAGTTGGAGCCCAAATGACACTATTATACAAGTTCATGGACTCAAATATCAAAATTCGAGTCTGGGATCTAGATGACTTTGGCGTATAAGTTTAGGGAACACTCTGTGAATTTTACTGAAAACAATATATGTCAGTTATCCATTTAAATAACCTGATAGCATTTTGAAGAGATTGATTTGGATTACACTGTGCAGAATTGGTCAAGCAGTTGGCTCTCTCCTGAGGCGATTAGGAATTTCATACCAGGGGGAGTCGTCTCATGGGAGGATGAGGATCAATGGCCTCACGTTAAGGAGGTGGTTCAATCCAAAAGTGAATAGCAAATCCTCTGCTGCCGCACCAGCTGACTTGCTTCCACTACCTTCGCGGTTAGCCAAAGGGATTGCTGGTCAGCAACGCGACATTAGAAACCTTTCACTCGAGTAGTAGACTAGCACTGCACGGCTATCCTGCAGCAACCGATCTCAGTAACCCGTGTGATAAGAAGCGTAGTATAGTAAGATGTGTCAGAGTATTTTTGGTTTGATAGTGGATGTGCGAAGAGTTTGTTCGGTAGAAGGAAATACATAATCCATAAATCTGTAAAGGTATTTATTCAAAAGAAAGATATACATGATACATCAAACTTTTGTAATCATGTCACGTAATGAGATTTTTTTCCCCTGAACATAATATACGTATACAGTAACATATTTGTACGCACGCTCATCCTTATATGCATCTTTGATTAGCTATGCTAAATCTTCAGATTGACAAGTCACTGCAAGTGTCTCAATATTTTATGAGCAAGCTGCGTACCACTAAATGAATAACATTGTTTCTTTGTGAAACAAAGTTAGGAAAATGCTAACAATTATGACAAGTTAAAGTTTAGATTTATTGTGGCCATGTTTCATCACAAGAGAACCCAATCAACTGAGTTATGATCAGTTCATGCATGAAGAAAAACCAGATTTAAGCATTTTCTTTCATGTTCTTCGTCATGCATAAGAAATGGGCTTCATAGCACGTAGACAAACTTATTAGCTGTTACAAGGACATCCCGAGCATTGTTGGATGGAGGATCAGGTCTACCTTTCCTTCGATTGGAGACAACAGGAATTGGGCAAATATTTCTTCCTATCCAAACATGGTACATTGGATTTCTTGTTCACGTTACCTATGAAATTGTAAATTTGTATATTCTTTATTATAGTATATACAATTCTAATTAAAACTCCAAGAAGTATACTTCCTTTTAAACAGGGGGGAAATGGGTGTAGGGTAGGGATTTTTTTTTTACTCGGATGTATTATAGCTTTTCTATTGATTATTCATTGCTAATAAATCTGAACTGGCAAGAAGACAAGTGGTCTGAGGGTGAGAGATCACAGGACAACAATAGTATGTCTGCAGGAGACTAAGGGTTTTTTTTTGACAAAAAACGATTTTATTTCAACAACATCCAGCTGATAAAATTGTTACAGTCAATGGCTGCAGAAAGAAGAGCAGCCATAAGTGGACAGTGAGATACATGAGCATTGTTGGAACAGGAAGAAGATAAATTTAGAGTTGAGGACTCGAGTCTAAAACAGCCTGTCTAGCTAATGTATCTGCTGTCTGATTCTGATTCCTACGAATCTTGTTAATTCCTGTGCTTTTTTGCTTTGTGTGGTTGATGAAAGGTTTGTGTGAGGTGCTTAATTCTCCAGTCGAGAAGGTTGGAGCAGTCTGAAGCATTGAGGAATAAGACCAGCTCTTGATTATCTGACAAGAAGGTTGTATGTTGTAGATTTAACTGTTCAGTAACAGTTGCAGCCAGCGCCAAGGCTGCAGCCTCAGCCATGAGAACTGAGGATAAGTCTAACATTGCAGCTTTGATGTATATGTGTTGCGGCGGACGAACCTGCATGTTGATAATAAAAATTCCAATTCCAGCTCTCCTTGGTAGTGAGGTGTACCTGTTTAAGTTTAAGGCTAAATAATACCTAATGAATAAGTCTTCCTTGGTAATGAACTCTTGCATGAGATGATAAGATACATGTTTGTCTGAATCACTTTGGTGAATAAAATTAATATGTGTGTTGCCAAGAAACCTTGCTATTTTGCTCAAACACCTCTAAATAATCTTGTGAACAAAAATTGTCTAGAGTTCATGTTTGAAAAATCCGAAGAAAATGTCTAAAAATACCAAAAACCCTAACTGGATTTTAATTGCTTAATAGTTTTTGAGAGCTGGATAAATAATCATTTTTTTAATATACTTAAAATTTTGTTAATATGAAAACGTAGTATAAGTGATGTACTTTGTGGTAGGGTGCTTGTTTGTGCCTAGTTTGAACATTTGATAGTTTAGTTAGTGCCCCAAAGCTTGAATAAAATGTTGTTTCCTAGGTGACTTGGGAAGTTTCTAAGTGCTCAGTGTTTTCTCTAACACTGCAATGTTTAGCGCTATTTATCTCCTAATTTGTGATTCTAATGGTCATGGTCCCTTAATATGAGTTGGTGATTGAGATGTTGGGAAAATATCTTGTACAGAACATGGGGCTAAAATCTTGGCCGAATCCTCTCTGCGGTGCGTCAAAGAGGGGCACTTGGCTCCTGCCGTTGCCCATGCCCTGCTCTGGCCATGTGCACACACAGTGGCGGCGTCCTCGTCACGCTATGCCTCTGCGCCTGCCCATGTCCCGCTGCTCCCCGCCTTGCCTTCTTCTACGCGTCCCCGATCTCCGCTCCTCACTTCCCCGCTCGTGCTCGCTCTTTTCTTCTCCTTGCCGCGACACGAGCACCCGCTATGGCCGAGCTCTATAGCTCGCGGCCACGCCACCGTTCTCACTGTTGCGTTCGGTCGCAGAGCGAGCTGAGAACACCACCGTCTTTGCCTCGACTTCCTCCCTCCCTTGCGTGCGCTTGTCGCGGCTAATGCCGTCAGGAACCACCGCATCGCTGCCCCCTGTCCGCCACCGCCGCGGCTTGCGCGCACAAGTGTCCATCGGTCGCTTCATGCCAAGTCGCGGCCACCCCAGGGTCCGCGCGGGCTTAGAGCGTCCTCCCGGCCTGCCATCGCCGGCCACCACGCCCTGCAGCGCTACCTCCATAACTCGCCGACCGCCTGCGCCCGCTGCCGCGCATGGCCATGCTCCTTGAGGACACGGCTGGGCGGGCCGCGGCCACCCCATGCGCAGACATGGTCTCCGCTGCCCCCGAGCACCACCACTACCGTCGCCAGCCACCAAGCTGTCGGAGATCGACCCTACCGTAGTCTACTCTGCTCTGTTCCGTGAAGGAGGACTCGCGCTCCTAATAGAAGCTTTTCCAGGGTCCCAGATGTAAATCCCTGACTCACACGAATAGTACTGCTAGACTGCGGGTTTATTCACAAAAAGCTCAAGGGCCTCGGTGCAAAGTGTTTGTCTTTTATGGTTTTCCTTTTTCTTTTTAGTATAAATTGGCTGAAACTTTGAAAATTCATAGGAAATTGTAGAAAAATCCAAAAAATGCCAAACCAGTTTTGTTACACTCCACATGACTAGATCTATACATTAGATATATAATATCACATGTTTTAGCATAAAATTATTGCTGTATTTTTAGATCTATGTTTTCCTTGATAAATTAATAGAGGATGTTTGGGTAGTGCAAATGCAGTGAAATTTTTAGAGTAAACTAGTATGGATGTGTGTGTGCTCTGGTAAAAATTTCATGTATAGTTGAGGCATAGTTTCTGAGTTATGCATTTATCATGTGTCATGCTTTTATTGCCTTTAAATCTTAATTAACAACTAGTAAATAATCTGCTTATCCAGAAATTATAAAATTTATGTAGTAGTTATGTTTAGTTAAGATGTATCACCCATAAATTTTTCATGTCCAAAAGAGATGTTTGGTGCGCCTCCTTTTTATTCCTTGGTTGTAATTATTAAAGCTTTTATATATGTTAGGTGTTTGGATTAGGGTTAAATACGTTTGTCTATACTACTTGTTTTACATGACGTATAGGCAAAGTGTGTTTAGTAAGTAGAAGTGTGCTTGGCATGTTATGATAAGTTTTCACTTGCATGTTTAAAATGCAAATGGTTGTTTTACTCGGTTGTGTGATAATAGTAACTCCCAAGTAAGTCGCTAGGAGAGGATGAGAGTCGAACCTCCAACGTTTAGTTACCCTTCACCGTTATGACGTGTTGCTTGTTTTGTAGTGTTTGTAAATGTCTTGTTATGCTAGTTTGACTTAAGCATGCATTGCATTCATGCATATCATTTAGGAACAATGATGAATCGATGGATAAACTGAAGGATGTCGGCGTCAAGCGGGAAGATGGTGTATTGGTGACCAGTCCAGAAGGTGGAGATGGTCAGATCATGTCCCGAAGATGGAAGAATAATAACTTAGTAGAGTACAAGTTTACCCAGGCATGTCCCGATGCATAACCCATATTTTTCAAGTACTTACTATTATGTTGTTTGTGCATTAAATTGCAGGAGTTGCTTAAAACCCACTTACATAATATTTTATTCTATGAGTCCTACTAGTATGATAGGAATCGTTAGTATGTCATGCTATAGGGCTTACAGTAAAAGTCGAGTGATGGACGGTCACTTGCGAGAAATAGGTGATGGTCATATTGTTACTACTATCACATGAACTTGAGATGCTGGATAGTAATTGAAGACCGGGTGGGAAGTGAACAATGGTTTTTCTGAATGGTTGATGGGTGCCGCAGAGCCAGGCTCTAGGCGCCCGTTTTTTCCATCTGTGTCGATTAAGGACTCTACCATTGGTAGTGTTGTGGCAAGTTTGAAGGTACCAAACACATAACAGGGCCCTGAGTTACAGTTGACCGTGAAGCTAAGTACTATCTTACAACTAAAGTGCGCAAAACGTTCACCAAAGTGTTTCTCTGGCCATTCTAGTGTTTGTTTTTGGGGCGAGGAATGTACATGATAAAACATACGAGGGGGAAACCCATCACCGGTTCGCAGGGCGAGCCTCATAGGGTGGGTTCCCCGGGGGTGGTCAGGTCATTTCGGGCCTTAGATGTACGATGGGAACAACAGCCTTGTACTTGCTCCTTCGAAAAGTATGAGCGTGTGTTTGAGATTACCCAGCTAGATGTACATCGATTGCAATCGCCGCCCTCCTCAGATATGGATAACACTTGTCGTATCACCGTCACCGTAGTTAATGCAACTAGAACATGGAGATGATGAGGCTTTGATTTGTTGATGAAAAATATTTTGATTGCTTACCACATGCTTGAAAGTAGTTCAGGTGCTTACCTACAATAGTTAAGTAATGAACTTGATGTGACTGCTAAAACTTTAAATATAATGATGTATTATTAGTAATGCTCCTTCGCAAAACAACTTAAATAGCTAGCCAAATAGCCCCTGCATATCCTTAATAGTTGGGAGACTACTCTCAACTAGTCGGGTAAGTCTTACGAAGT